TAAACTATACTCATTTAATTTAAAAGTCGTATATTGTTTTTTTCAATGATTTTATTAGATGAACATCTGAAGGTGTTTGTAATCCCGTATCACATCGCGTCTTGTGTTCATAAGGTTTGTTTTTGACAATTTTACTTACAGTTCGGCCAAATCTGATGTTGCTTGTAATAGTTTGTTTTCCTCAAAACCAAACTTGAGATGTAGATTCTTATATACATTGAAACATACTCTCTGTGTTTCAATATTCAAATGCATCTGAATCTTATTCACTGGTATCTAATTTTCGCGTTGTTCACCATCGTTATTGGAATTACACAGGAAAAAGTCTGCGTTGTTATCACACTCGTTATTACTATTATTCCCAATATCGAATTTCAACACTCAAATCGCGATCGAGTAATTGACAATTGCAATATCACAAGGAATACTTCAGGTATTTTTGAACGTGTTAGACAATCAATGACAAATCGAGTGCGCTCGTGAATTTTTTCAGAAGGTGGACATTTTGCTCATTCACTTCAAGGTCGAAATCGTTTATTATTTACTTTTGGTTTTCATTTTATGTTGTCCATGGATAGTTCAGAAGTGACTTTTTTTCTCAAAAACGAAAGTTGATATGAAAAAAACACGAGCGACGAAAAAGTGTATTTTCAGTTGCTTGATCTGAAAAAATAAGAAACTACAAAAAAAGTCAGTTGCGTTCTTTGTTTTCTCAATATTGTCGGCTGTGATGCCCACTGAGACGCCACTGGATCTAATAATTTTAATCTGGTACTGGCTGAATGAGCGTCTTATAACTGTAGCAAATTTCAACCAAATCGGTGTAAGAATATTTATGATATTTCATGAACCCCGTTATTTTAAACTTCAACTCAGATACGAAGCAACTCCGGACATATGTTCATCAAAACTTGTTTTTTTAAAATAACGTAACGAATCACCCTCTGAAGTTTCGTTCCGTAGTTAGAAAACACCCTGTAGATTTTCAAATTGTTATTTGTTCTTGTTTTCTTCATATTTTTGTGAATCATGCCCGAAAGAAAATAACGCCGGCTGCCACTGGTAACCATAAACCAAATGTGACGTAGCTGAAAGCGCGCGAATGCACGATGATTCCTCACCACTCGAGAAGCAACGAGAATAATGCTATCGACTTTGACAGAACTTCGGAGGAATTTCTACGACATTCGATTACGACATTTAAAGGCTAACCGCGAGGATATCGACACAGTCAAGTGAACGTTACAGTGCGGTTCGCGAGGTGATCTAGTAAGGCGATAGACATTCAAATAAGAGTTGAAGTATGTATTGTATTTGAAGTGAAATGAAGTTAAGTTTGATTATTTAGTGTAGTCAATTATTGGTCAACCCATGGGGAAAAATCTAACTATTATACGTACACAAACTTTGTAACTATACCGAGTACTGCGAGAATAAATAATATCTTCTTACTCTAACGCATGAAATTCTTCTTTCATCATTCAAACCACCGCCATTTGGATAACCATTTTCTGTGATGATAATGTTAGGATCATTGTAATGCTCCTTCACAAATCTCAACAAATATCTGATGGTCCAAGGTACAACCTGAAAAATAGTCGCCATGTTACTTTCATAATAATAATTTCAAATCAACGCATTGTTAATAATAATAATAATGATAATAATAATAATAAAATGACTTTATTCACCCGAAGTAAGAATATACAGAATATACAAAAAAATGTTGAGGTGAACGGGCGGAGTGTCAGCAAAGCTGTTTTTAAACTCAACCTTCGAGAAAAAAAAAAAATTTGAAATGAATAAATGAAAATTACA